GTTGCGCACCTTGCCCGAATTTTCTGCTGGATCTCGCACCAACGCTCCGGCGTGAGCATGGCGTAGGTGGTTATCTTCCTCCGGACCATGGCGAAATCGGAGAGCGTGGGAAGAGGGCCAGAGAGAGAGAGAGAGAAAGAGAGAGAGAGAGAAAGAAAGAGAAAGAGAGAGGAGGCGGATGGGCTCGAGCTAGTGGCACAGTGAGGAAGGAAGTGGATAGGCTAGGGTCGGGGGACGTCGGTCGGCTTAAATAGCCGGATTTGGCCTTGGGCGGCGAGCCGGACTGGTGCCACGCGGCGTTCACACCCCACCGGAGGAGACGTTTGTCAAACCGTTGGGTTTTTGAACGATTCCGCGTGGGACCCTGACGCCAATCCGATGTGGGCGGGCGCGCCCGGGCGGCTCATATCTACCCCATAATTAAGTTGGATATGAGGGGTGTCGGTCAGCCCAAGCGTTTGAGCCCCATTTAAGGCGCTCGTGTGAGTCGAAATTTCGTGACCGGGCTGCCTGCGCGGCCGTTTGAGGCCAGTTTGGGGCGCCCGGCTGCATGTGCTCTAACTATCTAAAGTTTTACTGTCCTCTTATATTAGTTTACATAGAGTTACCAGTAGTTTTTAAAAATATTGTTAAGATTAAAGTTATACGGGAGGCTAAGGAATGAGACAAAAGCTGGTTCCAGCTCCCATGCTACGAACGCACCTGCAGCGTTGGATCGTGGATCCAATGGTTAGCAAATTTCACGGTGCTCCGAGATAGGAAAAAAAAAAGAGACAAAAACTGGCTCCAGCTCCGATCTCCAGCCAGAATCCTGCCCAGACTCCTCGAGATCTCTTACCAGAGCGCACCGTTAAAAACGCCACGTGCCAAACTAAACCTTTGCCCCAGCGCGACACCCCATCTTCTCCGGTTGTGAGGCCCCGTGCTGCCTCCTCCTCTCTCTCTCTCTCTCTCTATACCGACGCCGCCCCCGCGAGAGAGAAACCCTAGCCTAGGGTTTCACGCGCCGCCGCCGACGTCGACCCCGCATCGCCCTTCCCCCGAGCTCGCCATGGACGCGGGCCGCAAGAGGGCCGTGCCGGAGGGCACCAACGGCGGCGCTGCCGTCAAGCGCGCCAGAGGTGAGCAGCCTCGTTCTCGCCGCTCCTGTTTTCTGGATGGGGTTCCTTAGGGTTTTCGTTCCTGTTCCTTTGCCGGATCTGGGAAGCGCTAGTTCGCTTCGTTGCGTGGGTGGCGAGAAGCCCGTTTTGGTTGGTGGATGGGACGGGGAGATTGGGGGCTGCTAGGAGCTTGTGGCGAGTCTGAAAAATTTCCGCGGTCTCTATTGAAGGGGCTTGCCGCTTGCTGCCGTATAGGTTCTTGCGGGGATTTGTTTTTGTTTTTTTGCTTCCAAAGATCTGGAGATGTGATTCGTTTGCTTTTTTCCCGGGGGAGGGGGTTGGGGCAAATTATTAGCAGGATCTGGGCTAGGAGTACTATTCTGGTAGACAGGATCCTTTCTTAAATGTTCTGTTGTGTTAATTACAAGCCACGCTGACGTTGGCATCCAGTGCCCAAAGCAGAAATATAGCACGGATACTCCTAATTTAAATCATTGGCATAGCTCTGCTTGGGGTACTGGAGTTAATTCCAGCGTTGTGTTTTTATTACAATATGCTCTGTGCTATTAAATTGTTAGTATATGTTTTCTTACAAGTGCCAAGATTTTAGTAAAATCAACACGGTATTAACTGGTGCAAGTAATAAATTTGGTGTAGCAGAATCGGAGTCGGTTCAAACGGGTGTAGGAAGCAAATCGAAGCCATGCACCAAATTTTTCAGGTTATAATCCAACCTAAAATCAACTCCCACCTGGTAACATCTATTATTGTTATTATGCAATTTGCTGTTATTTTTCATTAAAATTCTGCTATATTGCTAAAAGTTGTTGTTGATGCTAACGAATGGGTCAAGCAAGGTTCTACTACAGGTTTCTCATCTAACTCAAGCTTAAGAATGTATACCCAGTGGAGTAAAATTAGTACAGCCGGTGTGTATATCGTTGTGAAAATTGGAAGAATGCAACAAGAATTATAAGGATATGTAACTTGCTTTCAGATGGAAAATCAGTCAGTAACACAATGGCACAGATTCACCTGCAGAAACCAAGATAAGAAGATTGAACATGTTAATGGGGAGCAATTGAGTGTTCATCATGAAATTATTTCATCTAGTTCGTTGATAATCCAGTATCACTCATGGATGTTTTGACTATCTAGTACCAATGCCATACCTACTTGCAAAGATATTTTTATTTATATATTTATAATTTCCATTGTATAATGTTATTTAATCTATGGAAGATGTTAAGCTATCTTTGGTTTTGTTATAAGTTACAATGTGTGTTCATTATGTAGAGGTAATCAGGTATCATGGAAGTAGAATAGCTCACGACAATTTCTAAAGTGTACTCATCTTATCATTCTAAGAAATTTCATTTTGTTTTTGCTTCTATTTTGATGTTCCATATATTTATACCATAAAAATTGACAGTAGTAGATACTCCCTCCGTCCGAAAATACTTGTCATCAAAATCGATAAAAAGGGACGTATCTAGAACTAAAATACGTCTAGATACATCTCATTTTATTCATTTTGATGACAAGTATTTCCGGACGGAGGGAGTATATAATGAAGCATCTGTGGTTGTCCACATAGTAGTGATAATGTGTGTACTCACCGAAAGTAGGATCTAAGTGTCGTCTGTACACTACACATCAAATGTAGAATCTAAGTGTCCCATAGTAGTGATTATGTTTGGCGGCATCTACATCAAGCAGCCCTTGCAAAACAATGGATGTAGTATATTGTACTTATTTTCATCCACTAGATCATTAGTTAATAAATAATACTGTCATCTTATTCAACTAAGTAGATCATGATCTTTTTTGTCAGTATTGGCTGCATTATGAAACATCAGTCGTTGCAGTTTTTAGATTGTTGTGTAAGTTTGCTTGCTTATGTGATACTCTCTCTGTGTGCAGCACTGCTGGTTGTCCCTTTGGATCGAGTTGCCATTTTCTCCATAACTTCCCTGGAGGTCACCAGGCTGTTTCAAAGATGACCAACTTGGGTGGTCCAGCTGTTTCAGCTCCTCAAGGAAGAATGCCCATGGGACCTGGTGTTCCTGATGGGCCACCTACACCCAGCTTGAAGACTCGCTTGTGTAACAAGTTTAACACATCAGAAGGTTGTAAATGGGGGAACAAGTGTCATTTTGCTCATGGAGAGAGGGAGCTCGGAAAGCCCATGCTGTTGAACAACTCAATGGCACCTCCAATGGGACCAAGACCCAACGGTCACTTTCAGCCCCCACCGATGCCTGGCCCAGACATGGTCCCTCCCTCAACCTTTGGCGCTTCGGCCACAGCCAAGATCAGTGTTGATGCATCCCTTGCTGGTGCCATTATTGGGAAGGGTGGAGTCAACACGAAGCACATATCCCGAATGACTGGGGCCAAGCTGGCCATCCGGGATAACGAGGCAGACCCCAACTATAAAAACATTGAGCTTGAGGGGTCGTTTGATCAGGTCAACCATGCAAGTGCAATGGTGAAAGAGCTGATTCTCCGCATTGGCGGTAACGCCCCTCCTCAAACAAAGAACCCAGGGAGGGGGCCTGCGGGTGGTGGTGGGGGAAGCAACTTCAAGACCAAGCTGTGTGACAACTTCAACAAAGGCTCTTGCACATTTGGAGACAGATGCCACTTCGCCCATGGTGAGAGTGAACTGCGCAAGTCGGCTGCGGCTTGAGAGATGCTTTTTTTTTTCCATCGCTTTTCATGATTAATAGTGATTAGTAAAGCCTGAGCTCCAAATCCGAGGCCATTCACCCATGGTCGTGTTGAGTTGCATAAGCCTGTTGTTGATTGATTGGGAGATACTGCCATGGCTTCGGTGTGATCAGCTCGCTGTAACTGATAGATATCCGAGAATGGATTTGCTTTTGAGGTTTATTATAGGCTTAGTGTATTGCCTGTCTTTTTGTCTCTCTGCTCCGCATCCAATTTTTGTACTGTTTCTAAGGCATTTTAATATGGCAAATTTAGTGATTCTATTTCCAGCGAGTTATAGAATCAAGCCAAACTTGAGTATCTTTCATGCGATGTTCTTGGTCAGTCTGGGACCGAACATCCTTGGTATTTTTTTTCCTTTAATTTTTGACAATGAACAAGAGCTAGTACATTCGGTTTGGATACAATAAGATTGTTGATCCGGAGCATCATCTAGCCACAGCGTCCAGTCACCATCCAATCTCGTTTAAGAAGACTTTCAAAAGAGTGGATAACCCTAACAGTTGCCAGGAACTGGATGCCTCCAACATTCAGTTCGCCTCACCCGAATTGGTGCTGCCAGAAAGTCACCATCCAATCTCGTTTAAGAAGACTTTCAAAAGAGTGAATAACCCTAACAGTTGCCAGGAACTGGATGCCTCCAACATTCAGTTCGCCTCACCCGAACGCGGTGCTGCCAGAAAGTCACCATCCAATCTCGTTTAAGAAGACTTTCAAAAAGAGTGGATAACCCTAACAGTTGCCAGGAACTGGATGCCTCCAACATTCAGTTCGCCTCACCCGAACGTGGTGCTGCCAGAAAGTAAGTTGCTGAACCCAATTGGGTTCTTGCCATGGCGTAAATTGTTCCCCTTTGTCCATACGAGTGATAATTGCCGCTTGCTCTAGTACAAGTATATCTTTCACTGGATGTTCTTGGTCAGTTTGAGATGGAACACCCTTAGTAATCAAGCAGCTGAAAGCATAAGAGCTGTATAACGAGCCAGGTAGCTCAAGATAACTGCTTACAAATGCAGCAGGAAACCAACACTGCAAACTCATAACACTGATCAACATTTCTCTAACCCAGACTACTTTACACAGCATCCAAATCATACCTCTGGACTTGCCCACCCCTACAAAAGTCCTCTCAAAAGCTAGAGCTAGGTTAGTCGGATAAAGCTAGAGCTAGAGCCGGGTAAACTCTTTACCGACACCAAAGGAACCGCAAGACGCATGTGCACGGTGGCCGCCGGCGGGTGGATGGCGATCAGATCGCTTGCGCTTGTACGTCTGGACCATCTCCGGCCTGTCCTTGCCCATCTCCATGTCCTCCCGCTTGACCACCGTGCGGATCGCCTCATCCTGCGCATCCGCCTGCTGCTTATCCTCCATGGCTCCCTGCGTATTGTCCATGGCTGTCGCCTCGTCTTGCCGCGCTTGTGTGACCAGGCCCCGGTTCCTGCAGTGCTTCCTGATTGAAGTTGTGTGCGCGTGCATCTCAGGCTCGTTGTTTCCCCCGGACATGCCATGCGCAGGTGTCGCAGGATCCTCGTTGCCTCCCGGCGTGCTGCGTGCCTGGGTATTTCCTCCAGGCGTGCTGCGTGCAGGCATCTCCGCCTGGGTATTTCCTCCAGGCGTGCTGCGTGCAGGCATCTCCGCCTGGGTATTTCCTCCAGACGTGCTGAGAGAAGGCGGCCTGTGCAGCATCAGTTCTTCACCCTCCGCGACGATCCCTTTCATGAGCTAGGAGCAAATGTAAAACAGATTGATTAGATTGGAGTGCGTGGCAAGTACATGGATTAGCCATGTAAATTCACCTTCCCAGCATTCACCCCAAGTACAGAAGAATATGTTTGGTTTGAGTGATAATCCATGAAAAATGATTAGCATTTAATTCACACCATTTTGTCATACGGTTGGTTTACGGTACTGGTCTAGTGTGTTTGATAAACTGTAATGTAAGACTTGTAATAATGAATTTATAACTTGTGATGATGGTGAAAACTGCATTATCTTGCAGAACCTCCCAAAAAGATTATGTGAACAGTACATGATCAGCACTTGATTGTGAAAATGGCAATCAATGATGTGGGTAGTACCTGCCAGTCTTTAAAATCGTATCTGAAGACAAAATGGCTGTATTTCACTTCTCCTGAGGCAATTGCACCAGCAGCAGGTGCATTTCTTGGAGCTGTTCCAGTTGATAAAATAATATTAGATATACACAACAGGATATACATGAAACAACACCAACAAAAGAGCAATAAAGCAACAAAACCCTTACAGAGGATATGATGGCCATCGTCATTCACATTCATTTCCACTCTGCCATCTTTAACTAGGAATGACAAAGCAAATATGTTCTCCACCGTTTGGGCAAAGGACATTCTGTTCAAAACAAGGTTTTCGAGTCTTGCTTTTTTCTTCTTCCTCAGAACATTAAACAGAGCAGCCATGTTCCTGTCTGTATCAGTCGTTGTTGTCTCTGGATCTGCAAGCTGCATAATAATAAGGCAGAATAGGTCAACATGTTATTAGACGTTGATCTTGCAAAAACTGATCATGGGATGACACAATACAAAATGACAATCACAAACTGATCTTGGGATAACAGAATACAAAATTAAATACAAACTGATCTTGCCAAACATCCATTTATGAATTATGAGCTAAATGAATTTGATAATTATAGACCAGACAGCAGATTCAGTTAGATGAGCTAAACATAGACTACTTGCATTTACATACAGTGACACAGCTATAGCAGAACAAAGAAACTATTCATGTGACCAGAGGTGCAACAACTAGTCTTGGTACAACAGAATACAAAATGAAGATGGCCAAACATCCATTTTACTAAATAAATGAGCTAAACAATTTTGATACTTGAAGGCAATTACTACTGATGGTAACATGTTAAAAAAAGGTTTATTGTGTGATGAAATATAGCAGAATGCTGCTGTGACATTAAGATGCAACCACCATCTCTATCACAAAAGATCAACAAGTGCAATGTAAAAGGTTTGTAGTAGTTCAGTAACCACACTGACTGCTAGGCTATGTAACATGTATATATTTACAGTAAGATTAACTAGGGAATGAATAGCCAATGAAGTATGAACCTGCCACTTGCTTCACAAGATGGAAACCAGTAGCAATTACACTAAAATTGCATATTGCAATGGAAAGGAGAACAAAACAAATTAGTTAAAGGAAACATGCCCAAATAACACTCAATTATGCAATTCACTTATACATCAATGTGCATATATTGGAGTTTACAATAGTAAACCCCACCTTACATAATCAAAGAAGAGTATACCTTCTGCAGTATATTGGCAGCAATCACCAAATAAATATGACTAAGTGTAGCAATTTAGTCAATATCAACTGCTATAGAGTGCATCTTTCAAGCACCAAACAGAAAACATAGATGACTCGGTTTAGCATCAAGATGATACACACACCTGTTCAGGGCAATCATTTCTACTCGGCCTGGCAGTCCTCCTTCTACTGGTATGTGTTCTCCGTGGCTTCACTTCTGTCGTCATGGGACCAAACCTGTCAGAATAGTAGCCATACATAGTTAGTTAGTTGAAATTTGTAAGGCAGACATCAATGGAAAAAAATATTAGATGCCTTACATGGTGCAGCATCCAGGCACAGCCATGAAGACATGAGACGCAGCAAGCCCAACATCAGACCATCTCAACGAGGCACCCTCGCCATCGGCATCCCCTTGCACCCCAAACTTGTTGAGGAGTGCAGCAACTAAATGAGAAGGCGTGATTCCTAGTGCTGACTGGGACCTTACAGACGCCGCCAAACTGCTGGCAATGTCCAGCAATGCCTCTGCATCAGCTACCTGCTCCCTGGGATTGTGAACTACAGCATGAAGGCACAATTGATCAGTTTTTAGTAAATAGCATTCGCCAACAGCAAAATTGCAACAGAGTAGTAACAGAGCATATGGCGGAGAAGAAAATATTAAGTACTACTATTATTTTCTTCTGCGTTGTCGATTTATTGAATTTAAATGTCAAATATGCGTTTCCTAAGGCAAAAGCATGTTTATCACAGGGGCAAACACAGAGTAGCAGAGCAGCACAGATGCATCACAGTTTTGCTAACAGGAGACCCCACACACGGCTAAAACATAAAAAGGCATGAAACTTCACCTAACCACACATTACGCCTCGTCCAAACTGTGGAAGCAAATTTCAAAAAACGACGCCTGGGCGCGCGAGCGATCGTGCATACCATGGAGGTGCAGGGTCTCCACCTGCGAGATGACGGACTGGAACTTGACGGAGTCCGCGCTCGCCATTTCGTCCTTCTCGTCTGCACGAAACACAGCACATTAAACCCCGGGCTAAACTGTAAAACGGCACAGAAAAACTCCCCAAAACAGCAAGGCGAAACCAGCGGTGGGCGGGTGCCCCCCCCCCCCTACCGTTGATCTGGCTCTTGACGGCGAGGTACCGCGACCGCAGCAGACGCCGGTCCTCGAGCCCCTGGGACCCCGCCGCTGCCGCCGCCGCCGCCGGGGTCACCGGCTCCG